GGGAGAAGGAGAAGCAGACTCCCCACTGAGCATGAAGCCTGATGCGGGGCTGATCCCAGAACTTAGGGATCATGAACTGAGCTGAAGGCAGACGTTTAACTGACTGAGTTACCCAAGTGCCCCTGTAAGGAAAATTTTAAGGTCATTTATTTGAGTCTTTGAGATATTAAATGCTAGTAACTTTTGTTTGTACTTTTTTTCCCCCAAAAAATACTACTGAGGTATATCTAACATCACTACTAAAATCTTGAGTGATTCAATTTGTGGCAAAACAACACCATACCAATGAATAAGAGAGTGAAGAGAAATATAAAAACTGAGAAGAGTCACAAATATGTATTTTTAATTTATCAAGGTATAAAAAATAGCATCTCATTTTTTTTAATCAAAACTGTGTTTGATCATGTATACATTATAAATGATTTACTAAGTAAAGAAGCAATAAATATTTTACTACAGAAGAAATGAATGTCTAGCATTAAACAAATTGATAATCCTGTATTTGAAACATGATGCATATTAATTATTTATTAAAAATATTATCCAGAAAAGTAATTTAAGCATTTATTCAAGAAAAACATGATTAAAGACGCCTTGAGCACTTATCCATAGGATTTTTAATCTAAAAGCTTCACTTTTATATTAGAATTTACAAAGATAAAATTAGGTAATGCCAAGATAAAAATAAATTATTCAGAATAGTTGTTTTTATTTTTTTCTCCCTAAGGCAGAACTTTTTGAGAACTCACTTTGAATTCATAAACCTTTCCCTCATTGAAATTGTCCTTTCTTACTTTCAATAATAATAATAATAGTAATAATAATATTCACTTACTGCACTGTAAAACAGATACTCATCTGTACTATTATTTGTACTACCTCTCCCTTTAGAAAAGCAGTGTGGTAATTTAGGACTCCATAGAAACATTTATATATTAAAAGGATTTGTGGAACTTTACTCAAATTGTCTATAGCACTGGTCAAAAACAAACTTTAAAATTTATCTGTAAACTTAAAATTCACTTTTAGACGAAAATACAGATAGCAAAGAATGGGGGAAAAGCATATTAAAAGATATCCACAATTATTGTGACCACAATAATGAATAGTCATCTTTACCAAGGTAGGTATAGTCATAAGTGTGTAATTTTCAACAACATGATGAAACACCTAGATACACATTTAATTGTGCAAGTATGTGGGCATTTCTATGACAAAGACCTTGAGCCACACAACTCATTTCTATTTTTTCTGCTTTGTTTGTGCTATATGGATATTTTAATTCCCTGGTTGATATATTTTAGCTCGTATCCCTTAACTGCAAGTAGCACATCAACTAACAATGATTCATATTATATTAACTATCTACACTTACTATGCATTCTATTTCCTTTAGAATGTCTTTTGTATGTTAAATCACTCAATATGAGCAATGTCCAATGTACACATGTTGAAAAAAATTATCTTTTTATAAAAATCACCTTGGCCATTATATTAAGCCTTTCTGTAAATTGCTATAAATCTTTGCCCTAATAAGACTCTAGAACCAAAAACTGAGAATGTTTTACCCTAAAAAAACGTTTTTAAACCCCCCACTGATTTTTAGTAATATAAGTAATAGAATTTAATGGTATCATTATTTCAGTTTTCAGACTTTTAAAAATAACTTTTATTTAAACTATCATTTAAAAATGGCTAGCATTAATGAGCTTTTTATCAATATCAATTATCAATAATGAGCTTCTTATATTTTGAGAAGACCTTTAATTATGTTGCTTAATAAAAATATAAATTGCATAAAACCTATTCAATCAGAAATTTTTTTTTTAAAGATTTTATTTATTTATTTATTTGACAGAGAGAGAGAGAGATCACAAGTAGGCAGAGAGGCAGGCAGAGAGAGAGAGGGGGGAGGAAGCAGGCTTCCTGCTAAGCAGAGAGCCCAATTTGGGGCTCGATCCCAGGACCCTGGGATCATGACCTGAGCTGAAGGCCGAGGCTTTACCCCACTGAGCCACCCAGGTGTCCGAGAAATTCTTCTTTCTGAGCTAACGTGCATAAACAAATAGTTGTGGCTTTTTTCAAAGCCCATAATGTGCCATCCACTGTGAAACAGGTTTTCAAAACACATTTTCTTAAGTAACATTAAACAAACCCAAGTCACTCTAAGGAATATTTCACATATCAGAATTGTACTTCAGGTAGGCAAAGGGAGGTCATTTACCTCAAGAAAAATTTAGTTAACTCAGTTGATTCAAGAGGTATTCCAGCTTCAGCTTCAACCAAGATACCTACACCCTAAAATAGACTTGGGAGATGTACAGTTTTTAGTATATCATATCATCTTTTTCCTTACAATAAACGAATGAAGTAAATAGCACCTATTACTTTATAAAAAATGAAAATAAAGTTTAAAAATGCTTCTCTTTGCTCCCAAATAAATTGAACTGAAGTCTTTATATTTTTAAGTCACCCTTTGCTCTTCATCATGAGTGCCTACCAAACATAACTGAGATTGCTACATTATCTGTAATTCTTTTAAATTAATACCTGGTTTTATTTTTTTTTATTGTGAAAATCTTTAAAAATCTGAAAACAAGAAAATATTACAATTAATGCACAAACTTCTCACCCCAACACCTACTGCTCAGCTTTGAACATTTTCAACAACTTTCCAATTTTGTTTCATCTATTCCCTCTTCCATACCTGTTGGTAAAGTAAATGTCATATATCATACTGTTTCAACCACATGCCTCTCTCTAAACTTTTCTTTAAAAAACAAAACAAAAATATTCAATACCCAACAAAATAAATAACTCTGTAATAATTTAGTCATTTCTCAAATTTCTCTGACTGACCCAGAAATATATTTTTATAGTGTTTTAAGTTTTTCAGGTGTGCCAACAAAGATGTCACACAGCATCTGCCTCTTTTAATCTACAATATCCCTCCCCTTTTTGTCATGCCATTTATTTGCTTAAGGAACCAGACCATTATCCTGTAAAATTCCTCACATTCTGTATTTGGTTGCTGGATTCCCTGTCTCCTCATCCCAGTATTTCCTGTAAAATCACAATTTAATCAAGAGAACTGAACAGATATAAGTACATGTAGGCAGGAGTGGCAGTGCTGTGTACTTCTCCAGGCACTGCATTGAGAGGGAAAAATGTCTAGCTGTTACAATTTTAGTGATGTTAGTGATCACTGGATTTAGGTTTGCCAGTCTACCCAAATTTGCAAAGTTCTCCATCAACAACATACACTTACAGCCACACCAGGGCACACAGAGACATCTTCTTATTCTTTTAATAGCTGCTTAGTATACCATTGTACATTCAAGAAATGTCCTGCTGAAGAACATTTGAGGGTTTCCAATAATTTGTAATTATAAATATCTTGCAATGAATAGATATTTGGATGCATCATTTTGTATATTTCCAGTGTTTTAGGATTAAATTTCCAGAAGTTGGATAGTTGAATCTAAAGGTAAATGCATATATAGTCTTGTTAAATATTGACAAATTCCCTCAGAAAGTGTATAAATCATCACTATAAATAATTCTTCTAAGATAAATACGCATGAATGACAAAACTGTATAATGTATCTGTACAAAAATGAGAAAAAAAATCTCCATTTTTAAAAGACTATCTGTCAAATCAACTACAGCAAGAATGTTTTAAAAAATGATTATCCTAAATTTGTATTTAACTGGAAAAAAATTTAAAGTAACTCTTTGGATATCAGCCTATAGTACAGAGTAATAAAATATAAACATTGTGAAATGTAAAATATAAACACTGGCTTCTTTTGACAATTCTTAATGTGATATTATCTATAATAGAAAAATACTGCATGAACAAAAAAATCATTATAAAATATTAGAACTGGAAATAACCTTAGAGATTATGTCTAATTCTTAGAAGTTAATAATATATTATATTATGTATATATAATATAATATATATTGAATAATATATAAAATCCAGCAGGCTGATTTTCTCAAATATATGCAGAAGGCCAAGATTTTAAAGTTTCAATTTAGTATTTTTTTGAGAGAGAGAGAGGAGAGACAGAGAGAGAGGCAGAGGGAGGGGCAAACAGAAAAGGAGAGAGAGAATCTAAAATAGGCTCCACACCCAGCATGGAGCCTGATGTGCAGCTCGACCCCACGACCCTGAGATCATGACAAGAGCCAAAATCAAGAGTCAGATACTTAACCAACTGAGACTTGAATGCACCCTAATAATATTTCTACTTCAATTTGAAAATGACTATGTTAAAGATGTTATAAGCAAAAAAACACAAAAAAGTAAACAACAGCTTGTCCTGTACCCAAATATCTAACTATGAATAAACAATCCCTATCATCTACTTTAACAGGAGTAATTTTGGGATTTAAAGATATAACAATTTATACTTTACTATAAATTTACACTGTTACAAATATAATGAGCTACCTTCTTAATTCCTTCAACAATATTTATCTCACACTACAACTCAGTGTTTCTGTGTGTTTGTGGTCATTACTGACAGTTATTAATTATTAAAAATTAATTGAGTTATTAATTTTGCAACTTTTTTGCATCAGTATTAGCCTATGCAGCTATTATGGAAGCAGTTAAGATTCTGAAGAGTAAACCTTGATCTACAAAACCTCCATTTGGTTATATAAAATAAATAAATAATAGGATCATAACAGTTTTCTTCTCTCAAAAAGAGAAATAATAAATTTTCCATTATGTATTAAATTGCAATTTCTTTCTTTGAAATGCCTTTATAGGTATTTTTTTCCTATTTTATAATGGTCTTCCACTGGATTTATATTTCCATAATAGATTATAAGATCATCAGAATCATGTGTCAATGGTACCTAGCATGTGCCTTGCATATATGATATACAAACTGGAGATGGAAAAGACTGAGCGCATCCTAAACAATATAAAGTTTATCAATGAACTGATAAATGGTTAGGATCAGAGTTGCATGAGTTGCACTTACCTGAAGGATGAAGATTCTGTTCCTCTAAAAATTCTAGATCAAGCATTAGGTCATCTTCATCCAGTTCACAAGATCCCAAATTATTCAAAACATCCTAAAGAAAAAGCACAATCAATAGTTAGGGACCAAACTGCTGAGAAATTGAGGCAATATCCACATACAGATGCCATGAACTTTAACATTATCTGCCCAATAAAATATTCCAAAAATTATTATAAAAAATCTTAACTTCCACTAAAACTGCTAAAGGTTTAAAGGTTTTTTTCAAATGTATAGAAGTCTGTAAAAACTGAAGCTTTATTTTTTTATATTTATCTTTAAAATCTGGACATTCTTCTGACACATTTAATGAATTCTCAAACAAATTCTGTGTACAGTGCCAACCGTGAGATATTAATTTAGACCATACTTGGAAGCAAAGATTCAGTTACCATTTCCCAATCATTTGCTTAATTAGGAAAGATGAACAGAAGAAATAAACAACAATCAGATTAAAAATTAATTGACTTTCATAATGCCATAAACATCAGAGCTAGATTATGTTTTTTTCCTTCTCCTCCCGTCCCCTCCCCTTCCCTTTCTTTAAGAGGGCAAATAACAAAATAAACCAGAAGAGTATACTAAGAAGTCTTGAGGGGAAACAGTGATATGCAGAGGTAGGAATTCTTGAGGGAAGAATAAGGACCTAATTTGTGTATTTGTGTATACAGATAGGTGATGACTATATTAAGAAAAAGCACTAATTTAACATTTAGAAACTACATTGAAATAACAAAAGTACATCTTTTGTACTTTTGTACAAATGTACATGATGCTACATGTAGTAAATGACACTTATCTCAGACTTTTCCTATTTATGTGAACATTACCATAATTATTTATGTTTAAAGAACTAAATTTTCATTTTAAAAGGCCCAGTGATATTATCAAATGGAAACTGAACACCTTAATTCTAGGGATTGAAAGTAAGGGCACAGGGCAGGGGAGGAGTAAGGACACTGACATTTAAATAAATTATTCTCACTTTAAAGAAAAAAAGGAATTAAACATTATTAAGCTTTAGAATCATGTGGTATCTGTGAATAGAACACAAAGGTGAAAATATCCCCAAAGCTAATGATTATCTCTACCAATGAAAACTACAGTAGTCATTATCTTATTGTATTATATTGTATCTGTATTAATTACAAGGCAACTAGTATTTTATAAAAAAAATCAACTGTTTACTGGCAGTTTTATGATACACTGTGGCAGGAATAACCTACTGAGAATAAGATGTATATTTATATAGTATCAAAAGATGTTATAAAATATAGGCAACAAAAGATAAGCTGCCATCCTCAAAAATGCAAAAAAAAAGCAAGAAAAGAAGCATAATTCAAGTTGAACATGGAAAAGAAAGAGTTTAGAAAAGGGGGATTTGCTAAAGACACTATTATTGGTGTTTATTAAGCACTATCCAAATGAGAGAATCTTAATCTGGGGGTCAAGACTATTTTGGTAAAGAAAAAAATGTTTTATAGTGAAAATGTATACTTCATCCAGCTTCAAATTAGTCTAAGTTATTTTAATCTTATATTTAGAATTTCATTGACCAGTATTATATTCTTGTTTTCATCCAAAATTCCTATGTTGAAGTCCTAACTCCCAGTACCTTAGAATGTGATGTGTCTGGAGAGAAGTCCTTTAAGGAAGAAATAATATTTAAATAAAGTTGCATGGGTGGATACCAATCCAATATAACTAGTGTTGTTGTTGTTGTTGTTGTTGTTGTTGTTGTTGTTGTTTTTAAGAAGAGGATACTAGGACACTGACAGCAGGAACAGAGGGATAATGATGTGAGGACACAGCAAGCAGGCAGCCATTTGCAAGCCAAGGAGAGAGGATTCAGGAGAAATCAAACCTGCCTACACTGTAAAATTGGACTTCCAGCTTCTAGAACTATAAGAAAATAAATTTCTATTGTTTAAACCTCTCACTATGTGGTATTTTGTATGACAACCCAGCAAACTAATATAGTCAACAACATTTAGAAAGCAATAAAGGTTGGAACAAGAAGAAAGGAAATAAATGAGTACCTGGAAAATGACTATCACCTTTTTTGTTATGCCCACTAAGGACATCTTTTTCATTATAAGATTCTATGGTTATCAACACAACATTTCCCTCTTCTATTTGAAACCACTCTGCCCAATCCACTTCTCTACTGTACTGGAAGAAGCATGAGCCAAACCCCGTGTCTTTGGTAGATGATCCAAGATGGGCATCTTAACCAAATTTGCTGATCACAACCTTCCGCACAAATGAGACAAGTTTCTTTTTGGTGACAGATATTACAAGATGTAAAATGCCATCATCACAGAGGCCTTGGATTTCATTATACAGTTAAGACCAGTCTAAGTCTACTTGAAAAATAAAATGTCAAAGTAGCAGATCTTCTGGTTCCTGGTTCTAACAATTCTAGAGGTCCAAAGGCACTCATGATCTTTTCTAGGTTGCACTTTGAATTTCTACATTAATACATCCAACAAAAGCTTGAAAAAATAAATTAAAAAAAGATTTATTTTTTAAGAAGAAAATATTTTTAAAAACCCTGCCACCAATATACCTACATTAATTTTAAATTAATTAAATTTAAGAAAATTACACCAAGAAAAAGAACAAATTAAATTTGGAAAACTTACTGCACAGCTTACATTTTGCAGGTGACCCTTGACATTTGGATTAGGATGGGTCCATTAACCACCAATCTAAATGAACTGCTCCTAAATCTACTAATTCTAATTGTTTTGATATCTTGCTTACAAAGCACTTTCCTGTCAGTGTAGTGGAGTCTCCGAATCTGGTAAAACCACATAGTAAAAAGAGAGAAGATGCAGCAACATATGTTATGGAAGAAAATCAATACGAACTCATAAACCTAAAAATAGTGTATCTCTTCCAGATCTCTCCTTAAAAGAGACCAATAGCAGTAACACTACTTTTGGCCTCAGCCAGCATGTATGGGCAATCCAGATACTTGCTGCCATCCACCAGCAAAAAAAAAAAAAAAACAGGGCTCCTTGGGGAAAGGAGAAAAAAAAAGAAAAAACAAACAAACAAACAAGCACTGATTCTGTGTCATCCATTTGTTGCCAGAAAACAAGTTTCATCTTAAAAAAAAAAAAAAAAGTCAGAGGCAGTTTTGAAAAGCTAAGGAAACCTGAATGGCTTCACCCTGGCTAATCTCTGACATATGAACATGAAAAAGATAAATTATGGCTAGAGTAAACAGCTTGAATCTGCTAAAGGCTAAGAGTTCATAATACTCAGAAATGTTGACATAAAGGATATAAGAGGCGCTCGTACTGGGTGTCATACGTAAGTGATGTATCACTAAATTCTACTATTGAAACTAATATTACTATATGTTAACTGGAATTTAAACAGAAACTTGAAACAAAAAAATACAGAGGGGCTCATACACCCAAAAAAAAGCACATAGAGTGTAAAATTTCTTTAATTTCTATTGTTTTCCAATAATAGTGAATATATGGGTATTTTGTTTTTCTAAGTATATGTATGTATATAGTATGACCTGTATTTGTTTCCATTTGTGTAAGGAGAGATCTGTAAACATCAAAGTAGCAGCATCAAAAGTAATTCTGTACCAGGAATAGAAAATATTGATCAGCTCTGATGGGTCACACATAATAACCAAATGGAAAAGGAGTCCAGCAGTTAATTAACACTAATGATCACACCCTGTATCTAACAGGGCACAACTATGTGTTTCACACATTTGATAAATTAGTGGAATTTCTAGAAGTGGTAACTAAGGAGAAAGTGTCTCTCATCTCCTAGAAGATAAAAAGGTAGATAGCTCTACATAATAAAGATGTAATAATGAAAGTGCATGAATATTAATAATGTTCATACACCAGACCTATATATCATAGTAACAGGGAAACTGTTTTGTAACACAAACAATTTGGACTTAAAAAACAAATCATTTTGTAAGAAAACATCAGTAGTGCACAAAATTAAAAGCTAGGCTTGAACTTAAATAAGTAAAGGCATAAAAGCATTTAACAATTAGATTTTAATTGTAAAAAGGAAGTCCAAGCTGATGGGCAGTATCCTCAATTTCAATTTTCTCTGAATGTATAGCAAATCCCAATGACTACACAAAAAATTTTCTAATTAAAAACCCAGAATGTACAAGTATAAAGATGACTTTCCTTTTCTTTTAATTCTAGCATAGTTATTAAATCTTAGGAAACTCTCAGAAAGCTTTGAAATAGTCTCAAATATCTTTGAATTCCTAGGGAAATATGAAAATCTCCATGTGAGCGAAGTGTAAGGAGAAAAAAGATAAAAAGAAAATAAATTCCTAGTATCAGCATATTATTAGCCAGTTTTAAGGTAAGCATATGATAGGCTTTCGGATTACTGTATCCTTTTTCTTTAAAAGTGCCTAAAGCATTTAAGATAAATTGTCATGTTAAATTTGGTATTTTAATAATAACTTAGGAAGAATTTGATTATATAAAATTTGAATCAATGTTTAAAGGCCATGGAAAATTTAATTTAATCCATATTCTAATTTATGGATATGTAACATTTGTATGGATATTTTGAAAAGAGTTGGTTAATTATAATGAAATGCTAATTATTTACTAAATTCATAATATTGATAAATTGGATATTAAATCAAGTACAATTACTACTAAGTATTCTCTAAATAGACATTTAAAAATCTATCAGTAACACTGATTACTCATGTAATCTCCCAAATGACTTAGACCCATTAAAAGTAAACTAAAAAGTTATTAATGTAGTAATTCAAAAATTAATCTTTTAAACCCTAGGGATATAACAATGAACCTAATAGAGCATGTTTTCTCCCTTCACAGACCTTACAGATAACTGTATTCTAGTAAAGAAACACCACTTTTTACAAATACATTATTTTTTAAAATAATCAATCGCCTGTATTTGGTTAAGTGGGAAGCAATTCTCAAAGCCTGGTTGCTATTGGCTGAAATAAAAAAAATGAATTTCTGAAGCTACTAAGTTGAAAAAACAAATTCTGATCACTCCATTAATATGTAA